TGTCATGGTTTTATGTTCTGTTTTATTTTGAAAGTCTGCGTCTTGTGTCTTGTTTTACTTTGCTTCCTGACAATGTATTTCCTGTTGATTGTCTGAATTTGTTTAACTTGTGTTTAATCATCCTGCCACCTTGAGTGTATATAAGTCTGTCTCTGAATTGTTTAGTGTGAGATAGACTTCGTATGTCGCCCTGCCTGCCTGTCACCTGAGTTTTCTGTGATTCGTCGCCTTCTGTCAGAGCTTGGAATTTTGTAGTATTTTTGAATTTTTTTATCTGTATTTCATCTCCAGTACCTGTTTTATTGTGGCCATGTAGGCGTGGCGCTCCAGCCCTCTTGCTCAGCTGATGTCCTGCAGCGTTCTAGACTTGAGGCTCATCCCTGCAGTCAACCTTTTCAATAAGACTCCAGCTCGACTTCAGATCGTCCGTTAACCCACCGTGGTAACAAGCGCTACAGCCAAGATCTTGTTTCTAGATTATGAGAGTTTTTGATCCTGCCCTTAGACTTTGCAACTAACATCCTGTGTTTTTCCCTTCGCTCAGATCCCAGCCCCGGGTGTGTGGACGCTGCTACATTAAGTTTGTCAATAAATCTACCTTGAGTTTTTAACTAACCCGCCTTGTATCCACTCTTGGATTCTCAGTGGATTTTGGTATTCAGTTTCCTGATGGACTGCCTTCCATCCGAGTGTCTGCTTTTTATCCTCTGATTTCCTGTGCTTATGCTTGGCTAGCATGACTGAACATCGTCCCTTTGGTTTAAGAAAACGTTTGAGATTTAAAATGACACAAAACTTTGGATCTAATGGGTAATTTGTTAATTAGCAGCTTAAAAAACAGGTTAAACAATACTTTCACCTAAGGTAAAATTGTTCAATAACAACTCCTGCCAGGCTTTAAATTAAAGACAACATGAACTGTGGTGGTTTGAAAGACTCATGGAGAAGTGTCAAAATGATGGGTCATTTTTTTCCACCTCTTTGTTTTGTCTCAGCTTGCCAGTAAAAAGCCATTGTTTGACAGGTTTGATGAAAGAGGCCTCTCTTGAGACCCGAGTGGAAACACTTGGTTGTGACAGGACATGGAACAGGGAATATTACGACCACAGGCTTCTCTCTATCTCTCTTACTCTCTCTCTGACAGATGCAGCTTTAGGGAACAAGTGTACGCTGTGTTATAATTATTTATAAAACTGAAAGCCCCCAGACAAACCAGATTCACTCTTGTGGTGATGTTAAACGTCAAGAAAACAATCAAACACAAGCTCTGTATGCTCTCTCTCTCCCTCTCATCCAGACACACATGTAAACTATATATATGCAAGACAATCCACGTTTCTACACACACCATTTAAGAGACTACAATGCCAAGCACATAGGTAGGGCTGCAATTAATCGGTTGATTATTTTTCCAATTAACAATTTTTTTGTCTAGTCTATAAAATGTCTGAAAGTATTTAAAAAATGGTCATCAAAAGTTCCCAGAGTTCAAACATATATCTTCACATTACTTGTTTTGTTCAACAACAAGTCTTAAGTGATTCAATTTACAATTAGAAATCAAAGAAAAGCAGCAAATCTTTACATTTAGGAAGCTGGAAGCAATGACTGGTTTGGCATTTTTGACAGAAGACAGATAATACTACAAATTTACAAGGGAATGTAATTCTGACTAATATAGGGCATGTCGATTATGAGAGTTCAAAGCAATCAACATACGCTGAAGTTCATAGCTCATAGTTCATAGCTGGCTTTGTAATTAAATGTTAAGGTCCCTGACTTCCAGGAGGGTTTAACATCTTAGTGCAGCACATTGGAGGAGCTGTAGACTAGCTGGTCGAGTGCCATGTCTCTAAAGAGAGCACCTGTCAAGGGAGCCGGTGGCCCCAGACACGACATGCATCAAAGTCAGGAAACCCCAGCAACGTGGCCCCATAGTCCGAAATGTTACGCTTCAAAGACGACAGCAGCAGACCTTAGCGAAAGAGAAATAGATCTTGATAATGTAGTAGTGTTGTTTTAATTTTTTCTTTCTTTCAAATGTGCACATTCTGAGGAGAGCCAGAGACAAGACGGCTGTACCCTCCACAGGTCTGGTCCGTGTGGATTTAATGAGAAACAGGTTGCAGGGAAAATGAGGACTGTGTCCAAAATCACTCCCTCATTCACTATTTCCTATATGATATGGTGCAATTAACAACTTTGACCATTCAAGATATAAGGTATTCATTTGCTGTTAATAACCATTGCCATTGTGACAAGGTAAATCTCTACGAATTGCTTGTTTTGTCTGACAAGCAGTCCAAAAAAGATATTTAATTTACTGGGAAATAAAAAAAGCAGCAAAATTGGTACAGGTTAAAGGAATAGTTCTACATTTTTGGAAATACACTCATTCGCTATCATGCCAAGCGTTAGTTAGATAGTTAGATTAGATCAGACAATTTGTATTTCATTTCAATACATTTTACTGCATACAGTATAGTGCACAAAAGGGTTGACTTATGTGACGGCTTTCAGACACTGCCAAGGAGCAGAGAGAGAGAGACAGATAGAGAGTGAACAGACAAAGACACTAGGACACGGAGACATGGACACTTAAGGAGACAGACAGACATAGAGACTGACATACAGCCAGAGGAGACAGATTCAGATTCAGATTCAGTTTTTTAAAACTGAAAAACAGAAACAGATGAAGGGAGAGAGACAGATAATGAGAAAGAGATGCAGCCAGCTGAAGCGATTTCAGTAGACAGGTCTGGTGCAGCTTTGTTCCTGCAAACATCCTCTACAACACAAAACAGCAGGAGAGGTCTTTGTCATCTGCATCATCACAAAGGCATCCAAAACGCCATCCTGATGGGGAAACTCTGCCTGGTGGGGCTGGCACGGCACGGTATGGTCTGCTGTGTTTTACTCCTCGCTCCTCTGGCTGTATACTACTGTATACTGTAAAGACAACCAGGCCCTGGCTGGGTTTTTTTTCAGGCATTTTGCGTAGACATGAAAATGTAAATTCAATCCAGCTTTGCTTTTCCTTCTTTCTAAGTGCACGGTCTTTGCTTTGATTCCATTTCAAATGTGTGCCGATTCAAGTAACACTTCTTATTTGGCAAGGGCCAGTGTAAACAAACGTATGTATGTCAGGAACTGTATTTTGTTTAGACGGAGAGGTTAAACTACAGTGTGTCTAGTCATAACAAAAAAAGGATTCCTGAATATACAAGGTAGCTCATTGTAAATTAAGATGTAATGACCAGTTTAAAATATTCACCGCCATCCACCAAAGTTTTAAATGTCAATTGAAATTTTGTCATTAATTACTAACTTACCAGATGTGATATATTTTCTTTTCAAACAGCATGATGATGAGATGTTAACACTGCAGGATCTATCTTAAGTAGAAACCCACAGGCTAGCAAGCTATGGAAAGAAAGTCAGTTTGATTTGATAGAGCAGGCAGGAAGGTGAGAATATCTGTTGCCTCCGCTGTTAAGGTGCAAAGTGAACTGTGTGTCATAGTGTAGTGTAGCATCCGAATAGATTTTCATGCCAGATGTAATTTTAAGGGTTGTAATTATTATTTATTAACAACAAATATACACCTGAGGTGTGATTGGTACCTTGCAAATCTTTCCCACCTCAGCGGGTCACAGTTCATTTATTTGAACTAAGCCTTCGCACTTCTTCTCCGTCTCTCTGGCTATCTGAGGGATTCACCACTTTAAATAGAAAATGAATGTGAACCCCCACCTCCACCCAGCTCACCACTTGCAGTGTTTCTGCCCAGGAAAGCTGAGTGTTTTAGTTTTATAATGATTCAGGGGTGCAACTAAGAATTATTTTCATTATCAATTAATCTGACGATTCTTTTATTTTTTAGTCGATTAATCGTTTTGTCTATGAGATGTCAAAAAAATTGCAAAAAATGCCAGCTATAATTTACTACATCCCAATTTGACAACTTCAAATGTGTTGTTTTTTCCGACCAACAGTCCAAAACCCAAATATATTCAATTTATTATCATAGATGACAAAAGAAAAGCATAATATATCGTTCGATTAATTTAATTATTTGATTAAAAAATTAATCAACTAATTGCTGCAGGTCTATACTGATTATCACTGAATATTACACATTTATTTTTATTAAATAGTTTAGAATAGACTTTAACACAGATGTTTTTGTCCCACAGGCCCCCAAAAGAAATGATTGAACATAAAAACATGATCACCATAGATAATGACATTTTTTTCTTGCAGAGAGTACATCTCATAAACTCTGGTTCTGGTTATGAAACATGGAGAGAATAAAATGAGGAGAAAATACACATGAACTGCTGATCACTGTAAACAATAAACCAATAAATTCCCTGCTTGTTTTTTTTTAAATAAAACCATAAGAAATTAACCCAAGCTATAATTAATCAAAACAGACTCTTAGCTTCAGCACCCAGATGAACCCTTTTTCAGGCCACAACAGAGAGCAGAGAGCAGAGACAGACTGATGGACCAGAGGACAGACAGTTCAAGCACACAGACATCTCACAGGACACATACACACCTACACACACATACACATATACACACAAACGTATATGCAAAGTGGACCAGTCAGCCAAGGATAAGAGGTGGGACGGCTGGTTGGTGCCTCTGACGCCTGAGGCTCTGCACCGCAGCACTAGTTAATGACAGACGCTGGACTGGCGGTTTTACAGACAGAGAGAGACTTATGAAAAAAAATAAGCCAGTGGAAATAGATCTGCGGTTGGGATACACAAATGTGGCTGCCTGCCTGTCCACAGCCATGTCTAATCACCATGATGACGACTAGTCAGCGGCCCACACTCTCCAACTACAAGTCCAGGAAACCGCTGTGAAACCAGGCAACGGCGTGTATTTATGTGGGGTTCTTTGTTTTTAACAACTAAAGGAACAGGGAATTTTGAGTATAGCTTTACAGAGCACTGCAATGTTTCTCAGTAGTGTAGTTTACTTACAGTTCTGCCAAAGCTCAAAAATGGCTTGTCCTCGGGATTCCCCAGCAGGTCCTCAAGGTCATTCGAGGACAGCAGTATATTCTGTGTGGAAACAGAGGTGACAAATTTCTAAATTTAAAAACCACAAACAACACGCAGTTCAGTGCTAAAGCGATGAACAACCAAACACTCACACAGTTAAATTCACCAGACTGGATCAAAACCACAGGAGTCGGTGCAGTTTTTGTTTTAAATCCTCTGATGATCTTTTATCATGCTTCATAGTATATAACAAGTTCTGCTGTCAAAGTATTAACTGCAGGAGTCGGAGTGTCTGGGCTGTGGGCTTTAAAAAGACATCTGGCTTCACCTTAAACACGTCGATGACATGTCAGAGCCTTGGTGCTTACATAAGGAACAATACTGAGCGTTAATTTCAGTTGTGAAAACGACGATTTTCCTGATCCCCTACCTCCTAACCAACCCCCACCCCCCACCCATCTTTCCTTACCTCCAGGGCGTTGGTTCGCGGGGAGCGAGCAGTCTTAGGGGCGGTCTCACCACAGCGGGGCGGGTGGTGGCTGCAGTGTTGTTGGGCAGCACCTGGGTCACCCATCAGGAAGGTCAGCTGTCGGAGATGACCCTGCAGAAAAAGAATCGTTAAATAAAATGTGAGCGACTGCGGCGATTACAGGTAACTACAGATACCGAGGCATCTGCTCACCCTGAGCATTTGGGTATCTCAGTTTGGGGGTTTTTGGGGATTTAAGTTGCAATTTTTGCAAAACAGCAGTATTTTAAAATGACAGTGGAGTAATGCAGTAAGGATGTCTTTGGGTTTCGAAGTGGTGGTCAGACATAATCTCTATAAACAAATATCTGCATATGAATGCAGAATCTGTAGACACTAGACAAGATGTTGGTAGCGTTATGGTTTTCGTTTGTAGTCCGAGTAGTACTGACCAATCACGTTTGAACTACTTTTGGTTCCATATAGGTAAACAGTCCGTGTGGAGAGCAAAAGAGATGGAACGCATCTAATGCATCTGTATTCAAATCTGTATCCAATGACCAGAGCGTGGAGGAAGAGGAAGTCTCGTCCCGGCTAAATCGTCATCAGACAATAGCCAATGGGTTCAGTCATTGGGTCGGAAAAACAGCTAACTGGAGGCGTCACCTCAGGCTATGAGAACTTGAGATGGACTTTTTACAGACCAAACAAATAACTGAGAAAATAATCAGCAGTTGCATTGCATCTTCTAATTATCTCTTGAATTTAATCAAACTAAATCAGAACGAACCTTTAGAGACAAAGCTGTCAGGTTCATCTGTATCTTGCAGTCGAAATATTCATACAGTACATGTTCTGTATAAGGACTGTATCGCTTTTCATGCATGCACACAATATGTACAGAGAATGGAAGAACAAGCTTAGACATAGCCTATTGCACACCCACACACACATAAGGAGGTTACTGAAGGTCATACATTTCACTGCAGTTCCCAGGAACCCTGAGTCTGACATCAGGCTAAACATGACAAAGAAAACATCAGCAGACATTTAAAAGCCTCTGTCCTCAGGCTGTGTTTATAAGAATGTGATGGTGGGTGAGGGAGATGTGTGTGTGTGTGTGTGTGTGTGTGTGTGTGTGTGTGTGTGTGTGTGTGTGTGTGTGTGTGTGTGTGTGTATCTGTAACGTTAAAATGCTAATTGCTCATTGTTTTGTAGAATCCAAGATTGCTGGTGCTTATCATACACATAATATGCACAAATAAGGCCCATTAGGGTAAACTGAAAACCCATTTTAACAAGCTGTTTGATCTCACATTCTCAAATCAAATCCCAACACAAGTAGAAAGTGGAGGACGTACCTGTTTCAACACCCTCTGAGAAGTGTTGATAGGTTGGTTTTTTTAATATAGAAATGTATTGCTGTATACAGAAAGATAATGTTTCAAAATCCCATAATGGAGCGGGATCAACCTACACATATGTTTGCTGAATACAGACAGCTGCTGCAAATTTCTACTAATTTTATTGTTGCTCGTAAAAAACCTTGTGTGGGTCAATTAGTAAATGTGAGCATCAGTTGTCATCTGTTGTCAGAGTAACAAGTCCTTAAGACCAGCCCTTCCAAAGTGCAGGCTCAGTGACAGTTAACTGGATCATGGCAAAGACATTGGGGTTATTTTCAAATACAAATCGCTTTATTAGCTGTATCATGAAAGAGTACTGTTATAATTATAGGTTGTTGAGAAATCACTTTGAACTGTAGGTGTAATTATCACAATTTAATTTTCATAATGTTGACCTATAATTTAACATGATAATATACCACAAAAGATTTTTACACTGAAAAAAAACCAAGCCAAATGGCCAAATGTAGTTTGAGAAACTGGGAGTGAATGGATCGCAGCCATGAAAGTGTTGGACCTCAGTTAGAGCGAGTCCTATACTGCACTGTGATTGGCCAGCTGCGTATTCGGGGTGTGGCTTAGCGAATGGTCAATTGCATTAGACTTCATGACAAAATGGCCCTACTTTCCATTTTTCCCCATTTTATTGCCTCAGTAAAGTCAGTCTATGATCTCAATCGTAAGTTTCAAATCTTCTTCAATACAGCATGATTCATTTAGTGAATTATGGTCCCATTTGGAGGAAAATAGACAATAAAGCAGGGTCTGCTTTAGGGAATGGCTATCTTGTGATTGACATGTCAATACCATGGCGAGCTGTCAATCAGGATAGAGGCGACTCATATCCATCGCAATGTTTGACCAGCATTGTTGAAAAGGCTTGTTAGGAGTCGGCTGTTAATTTTTCCGTCAAGTTCCATTTGCTTTAAGCACTTTTTTTTCCACTAGCCAAAATTAGCATCCTGGTTAAAATCACAGTTAAAGTGAATTACAAATGGGTGTATTGTCACGTCCAGTGTCTGGTTCCAAAAAATCAGGATGGAGACAGCCAAAATGCCAAACTTGAGGTTTCAAAACTGCAGTCCACCAACAGGTGACGTCGTGGTGACTATGTCCTTTTATGTCCTGGCCTGTGGCCAGATTACTTTTATAGTGGCAAAACAAAACATTATAGTGGCTGGTGCTGAAACAGATCTCAGCTCTTATAATCACTTTCTCTTAAGTGATTGTGCCAACAAAATAAAAGCACAAGAACGTCCTTGCAGCAGTACTTTATGTCCTGTTTAATTGAGAGCTTTTACTTTGAAAAGTAAAACATTCAAAGATTCTGTGGCTTGCTTTACACACCTCTGAAAAAGCCGCCAGTAAATGCAGGAATTTCCTCTGCCTGGAGATACTGGGGAAATGAAAATAAGCGTCCATAGGTTGATGTGGACAAAATCGCCGGGAGGCACACACTAAAACGCACATGTAAAACGATCTCTTCATAATAAATTTATTAAAAAGGGAGAAATATAACAATAGCAGCAAGCGGTGACTGAACACACAACCCTTCCAATGGAGTCCTGTGCACTACTGACTGAGCTAAACAGACACAATAAACGGTGGATTGTAAGTGATAAATTGACTACGTTCTGGCCCACCATCGACTGACTTTAACAAAATTGGGCCCGATGCCAGAGCAAAATGAGTATTCAAGATATCTTCATAGACGGTTTAACAAATAAATCCTTAACCTGCTTTCAAAGAACCAAATTAGTTGGATGAAAATAAACAAGATTACTTTAACCTGATAACAACATGTTAGACTCAATTAGTTAAGCCACACTTGAAGAACAGGGCCAGGTCTTGCTATACCATATTTTGGTAAAATGGAGCCACTAAAATGTTGCATAATGTGTGCCAGTTGTGCTGCCATGAAGTGGATGACAGTAAGAGTTGCAGATAAAAGCAGAATACAGTAATGTATGGTTTAGCGTTGCCAAACACAAAAGACTGTCCAGAGGCAAGACTGTCACCACCTCTGAATGTGGAAGTGCTCTGTCCTTGGAGTTCAGTAAAAGGCTGAAAAAGGCTGTCACCAGGGGAAACAAGGCAATGGAGAAGCCATTTTATTTGGTGCTAAGAACAAATCCAGATGCTACTTCTATAACGCTTCTCCTCACCCCTATTGTGATCCCCAGGCTACATGAGTGCTTTTAGTAACTGGGACAGCATGTCCACAGTGCAAAGACAGGTACATTATGGGCCTTCAAAAATCAGCCTTTAAAGAACAAGTTTCAGTTTTTACCCTTTTGGAAAAATACTTAAAAGAATCCAAAAAAGTAATATAATGATCGGTCCAAACACTCATCAGTGTTTCCTCTGTAATTTTATGTAAACACTGGTGTTTGGGAGGTAACTGAGGTTGTGGTTAGAGCAGGTTGCAGGGATTTCTACGCATACTTTATAAAAACAAACACATGGTTTCTAAGCGTTACGGGCTGCACGTCTTTGTGTCTTTGATGAAAAGAGAATGGGGTGGGAGAGGGCCGCGGGGCGGGAATATCTACTTGTGTGTTCTTTCCTGTGTGTGTGCAAGGATTAGTGGGCATGCATGTCTTTTGGGACTAAATTGAAATGAACTGGACAATACACATGTGGCTTGTAACCCAGCAACAGTTGTTTTAAATATCATCTGGCTATTGCGTAACCATCTGGTTATATCGAGTTATTACACACATGCAATAGAACAGCATTCCAAATTCTATAAATAGAGATTTTAAAATCTGACGAGGGCCATTCAGACGCCCTGAAGTTCATCGATAAGTCAGGTGAGAGTCTGACCTGAGGTTGGCAGAGTGAAAATGAATGCATTCAGCTTCTGGGTAGACTAACAGAATAGGTCATAGGGTGTTTTTATGATCAGTGATGAAAGTTGCAGAGCCGGGCCGACAGGATACAAACCACTTACTTCAAATGGAGTCTCAAAGCCCTCGATGATGCCTCCCACCATAAGCAGCCCATCTGTGCTGATCCCCATGCCGTGGTAAACCCAGTCCACACTCTCCAGCAGAGAGCAGTCCACATACAGCGCCAGCCGCTTGGCAGACACACTGACGGCCACATGGTGCCACTTTCCATCAGACAGACCGCTGACTGGGAACCTGACAGAGAGACACATGGTCATTATGTAATGACATGTCTTTGGTTTTGTGTGTCTCGAGGTTGAATGTCTTAATGAATTAATCTAGAAGGTAAGTTCAGCTTAGGTCCTGTTAAAATACAGATGTTAGTAAGCTTTTTTAATTCTGTCTATTTTGAGACTGTTTAAACCAAGTGTTTTAGTGCAAACAGTTGCAGGTGGTAGGTCTTTGTGAGCGTGTCACTGCAAGTGGCATCACATGTAGTAATTTCCTGCATTGTTAAAAGAGCCCTCCACTGATTTAGCATTATACTCCTATAGTCGGACCCATGATAGTATAGCAAAAAAGTATCAAACCAGAGCAGAACCAGAGATATTGTCCCAGATTTTTATTTTCATTTTCAAACTTCAGCCCCAACCAACATCATAGATATTTGATGTTAATTGTTTCTAATCAGATTTTTAAATATGTATTTATTAAATGTTTGGCAGCTCCCTCTGGAGCCACAAAAGCCTTTATACAACTTTTCTCCTCCATATGCAGTGGTACTTCCCAGCACTTCCCAGCACAGTCTGTTTAATATATAAAATATTAATCAGTGAAACCTTGTAGGTGGAAGCCACCAGCGAACGTGCTTGACAGACTAGTACAGTATCTATGTGTGTCTATCTTTTGGCCCAGTTCTGTCTGCTGTCTTGCTGTGATGTATTGCCTCAAGCTCTGTGGATCCTTAAGAGACGAAACCTGCCAAGAGATACCTAATAAATCATTTCACCAATGAGACAGCCAAATGCAATTTACAGTTGAACAAATACACACATGCTGCAAACACAGAGCTTTCCTCTGTCTCACAGACACATTTGCATACACTTTAGCCAAGGAGCAGGAATGGGCATGAGTGGTCCGTGATTACCTGAGATGGATCCTGTAAAGTTACAAGGTAAATTTATTTAGAATTCTACAGCACAAGGTTGTATATGACATGAAGTTGTAGTTTCCTTTATACTACTCACAAAAAGCCATCGTTATATACAAACACTATATACAGTCGTAAAAATAAAACTTTTTTACATGGTGTAGTGCTGAGGATGAAACCGTCTGACATTTTTGGGATAATGTTTAATGCAAGTCAAAAGCTTGTACTTATTTGTCTCACTGGTAAATTTTTGAGCAATTTTAACCCATTAATCATGAATCAATGTTTCATAGCACCACATGCATACCATACACTATTTTTTTTATTTATTTTGGAAAAAATGAGGACGTGGGCTCACTCATAGTGTCGCTGCTGTGTTCCTATGAAGATAATGGCGGAAGTACTGATCCGCAGCTGCAGCATAACGTGGCTGTCGGGGCTGAGCATGGTGAAGACGCTGCGTTCATCGCTCTGAGGGCTCTGCAGCTGCACCAGTAAACTGAACTCATCTGCAAACCTAAACACAAATATAGACACATACGATTAAGCCATGTAATTGCTACCGAACACATAAAGGATAACACTAGGCCTTTTTAAATAGGTTACACATGCGGAGAAGAACTGCATAGTAAGCATAAACATGTTGCTAATAAAGATGTCACACAATAAACCTTTTTTTTAAAAAACCTTAACCAATGACAAAAAGTGAACCACAAGCTTTTACCTTTACATCGAGTAGTAAGGCACTATTAATGCTATGAGTTAACATATGGAGATGTGGGTGAAACCGTACCCATCAGTCAGGAGATATCGAACAGGGACAGCCAAGGTGGAGTACTGTCCCACCTGTAGGACTTGACACCTGTTGTCATCCACAGTCATGGAGGCGTTACTGCTGTTCGACACCTGAAGAGAAAGCTCCTGCAGAATGTTCACCTCATCTGTAGTGAGACAGTTCAGGAGAAAATACAAGCGAAGCCGTTAAGAAGCTTCGTGACATGCAATCATTATTCGGAAGTCTGACATCCACCCAAACCAGCACAGATACTGTTGTGCTACACTATTACAGCACAGGGTCTTACGTGCTTGTATGAGAACCACTTTCACCCACCAGATGTTAATGAATGTGTGCCATAAAATGTCAACATGTTTGCTGTGCGATAACCGGAAGCTAAAGTCTCATCTTCACTGGAAAGAAACAAATGCAGCATTTGCTTTGGCTTTACTTTTCATGTAAACACACATGTGGACAGTAAGGAATTTCCATTACAGGCAGAAAGGAAGTAAATAAAACAACTTCATCATTCATCTAATAACGCTTTGAGAGGCATAGGACAGGCCATATGAAAAGAAATTTAAATACTACAGCATGCAATCATATTTTAATGATTTTAACAATGGCGTGCTTTAAACTTTGTGGCAGCAGTTTGAGGAAGGCCCTTTCCTGTTTCAACATGATAACGCCTCCGTACACAAAGCTATAAAGAAAAAAGGTTCATAAAAGCTGATAAAGAAAAGGTTTGCTTGCACAGACCCCTGACCTCAACCCCTTTACTTTAGGAGGAACGGGAACACCGTCTGTGAACCAGGCCTCATCACTGAACATCAGTGTTGGACCTCACAAATGCAATTGTGTCTGAATGGGCAGCAAATACCGGTAATCATGTTTCAAAATATTGTGTAAAGGCTTTCCAGAAGACTGGAAGCTGTTATATTCATGATCAATTGTGAGTTCGTGTGTAATGTTCAGGCGGGAACATACTTTTGGCCATTCAATGTATGTTCTGCAATGTTAGGGGACCCAGGCGGCGACCATCTGCGGCAACCAAACCAAATCATTCTTCTGCTGGCACTTTCAAAAAACCTTAACATGCTGTGAACAGACCACTGATGGCGTAACTAAAAAGCGGAAAACCACTTATGGGGCCACTGCCTTTCAAAGCTGCAGAGGGCTGCTACAAATTCCATTCTACTTAAAGAGGTTTTATTTCCTTTTTTTGGTGCCCTACAGTGCGTAACATTGTTGTACCTAAACTGGCGTGTTTCGCATCATTAGATGTAAGTTATAGGAGTGTGTTTAATTTGTACTCTATGTGAGCAGGTAATATGCCATTCGTCATGTCCTACCCACAGGTGGCTTTTGTTGATTAACCCCCATGCTTTAACAGCTTCTCCTGAGGATTATGAATACAGCTCTTTGTCATATTTAGAGAAAGTGAGTCACCACCAAGCGGGAAGCTTCCAAATTGATCCAAACATGGAAGTCCCTTAAACCTGCATTCCATCGAACGGCCAGCAGGGGGCGACTGCTCTGGTTGCAAAAAGAAGTCTGGCTCCATTAGAAATAATGGTAAAATGACCCTACTTCTCAGCTGATTTATTTATTTACCACAGTAAACACTTTCCTATTGAGTTTATGGTCTCAATCACTAGTTTCATGTCTTCTTCAATAACACATGATGTTCATTTAGTAAATTATGGTCCCATTTAGAGGAAAATAGACCATAAAGCAGAGTATGCTTCAGGGCAGGGTTATCTATGATTGACGTCATTACCATGGCATCAGGCTAGAGTGACTCGTACCCGCGGCACTGTGTAAATTTAACCAGCGCCGTTGAGAAAGCTTATTAGGAGTTGGCTGTTCACTTTTTCTGGTGAGTACATTTAGTTTTAAACCTGCTGTTCGCTAGAGAAAATTGTCAACCCTGTTAAAATGACGTGAATTACAGATGCACCTAGCTAAGCCAGCTAGCTAGCTCCACAAGCGGCGCTTAGCTCCACGGTCTCTTCCAAATATGGTCACATCCATTGCTGCTGGTTGCAAAAAATCAACATGGGGGCAACCTATTGGCCAAACTCGAGGCTTCAGGCGGCAGTCCACAAACCAACGGGTGACATCACTACGTCTATTTCTTATATACAGTCTATGATCACCACTCAAAGACTGGTATTATTGTATACTGATCACACTTTAACCTGGGAACTAACTGTCAGTGTCATTATGTAAGAGGCGGTGCAGAGATTCATTAGGTATGTGTAGGTATGTGTGTATGCAAGTGCACTTGTGGATACGTTTTTATGTATTGTTGTGGGTAAGATTTGGACCTTGAGTCTGTAATAAAGTTTTTGATTTGATTGATGATTTGATTAGGTTAACAGAGATGTTACATTTGAGAAAAGAAACATTTAACTAGAGACCATTCATGCTGATGCGATCAACATGAGCAGCAGGGTACCTAAAGATTACAATAGCAGCTCTTTAACATGAACCTGTAGGTTTTAACCACTATAAACATGTCTCAGACTGCCTCTGGATTTTTTCCAAAGAGATGGGATTTCTCAAGCAGATTAAACCCTACTCCTCTCAAGTACTTTAATAAATGAATCCACGTCTGTCAGCCCTTAAGAGACCCATTTGCTCTTTACACCCATCCTGACGGCATTGCCAGACAAATCACTGGTCCGGAGAGAGCTGCGTGGTCACACTCTGCTGCCCTGAGGAATGGCACTGAGGGAACATATCTGGTGTCGCACTAAAAATTCCAACATACCAGCCTTCCTGCAATCCTCAAAGATGTATGGACGAGAACCCCTTAGAGAGAAGAAATTATTTGAATAATTGGTTTACTTTGCACTTTTAACCTTTAGTTAACAGCTGTGAGGGATGTGAGGTCAATTCGTCTGCTAATCAGCTAAACAAGATGTCAGTTTTACAAAAGAGGCGCAATAGCAAGCACATTACATTGTTTCATTAATCTCAGGCCACAAGGAACCCAGATGATGAACACAACATCTGTCCAATTTCAGATTTTAATTTCACAATTAGCTGCTAATGTTGTTTTCTAAACAGAGACACACAGCATGAGGTCAATGAATTCTGCAGATGCTAGTGTTAAATCTTAAATGTTTTACACATGAAGCTTAGTTAACTCATCTCAAGGAGTGCTACGCAACCTGTTAAAAGAGTTGTCTAATGCCTGCTGTTGTCTAAGAGGGAGTTTCAGTCTGTTTATTATCACTGACCTGTCCAATAATTAATTATAATAGTTCCAGAAAGGTTACATGGGTTGATTGAAATTAGATTTTAGACAGGACATAGATAGTAAGGGGAACAGGGATTTCCCTCAGCTGCATCAAGCAGCAAGATTGTTTATTATGTCAACAGACAAGCTGACCAAAAACTCATTAGAGCATTTCCCCTAATAGATAATTAATCTTGGTTTTCCATTTTAGGATCTGATATTACACAGAAATAGCTTCTCTAGGATGACTGCAGTCACATCATGTCTTCGCTTTCCCTGAAAGTCACTGTAGGCTGCAAAGAAATGCACGCAAAGAAATGCACAAATCACGTTGACTTGAATGTATCAGCAGAACAAAAGTGAGAAGTGTCAAGTAAAACGGAATAAAGCAGCAAGTAATAATCTTGCTGTTAAATATTTTTCCATTAATCAACTGATTGATTTTCAACTAATTGTTTCAGCACTAGGGATTTATTGACACACAGGGCAATACTGTGTTAATGTGAAAAAATGACCTCAAAGATAGAAACATCCATTTTACTCAGAACAGTCAAATAGGTTCACAATATTTTGAAACATGAAAATGTACGATAGTCTTTAAACTGTATCCAAAACCGTGGCATTTATATTACACTGAACCACAATCAAATGATTAATCTTCAAAAATGTATGTTTGGATGGGCATCAGAAGTTCATTCTGTATAGTTAATAAGGAAATCTGTCATTTATCAGCCATTGTTTGGACCCACAATTGCACAAGCTTCTAACAATTTACAAATTGCAACGCACCATAATAACAACATTAACATAAGGTCACACAATCTGCAAACGTTATCCGCTGTCGTATCAAGACGTGTGTGGGATTGCTGATGCTACAATATCTAAATGAGCAGTAATTTATAGCCACAGGAACTGGAAAATGTTCTCACACACTTACTGATCTAATGCTCTGATGGTCTTCATTAAGCCCCACTTGCGTATTCATGAAAGAACATTTCATGTGCCACAACTGTGCCCTCAAGGAAAACTTCGTACTCATGTGCTTTTCTCCCAACACTATAATCAAAGGATCAAGCCATTAAGATGGGGAGTGGGGTAAGGAGGCAGAGAAGGGGGGATGCCAGTCATGCCTGTTCTGCTTCCAGCAAAAGTAAAACAGATGTTTGAGTCCTGAATCACAAGAAATGTGTGAACAGTAAGGACCTTCAGGGTTAGATCAGTCTTTAGGTCATTTTGTTATTTGTCCTATTTAGCCAGTCAGAAAACTTTTTTTTTGGTCTTCGTGTGCAGTCTGAAGGTATGTTCACTGTAGTAAGTGTATGCCAAGTTAACTTACTTAATAGTTTGTTATGACTGTTCATTAGTTGTTTAAAAGTGACATTTGCTGAGTTAATTCAACTGATCTAGACAATATATGTTCTCAAATTGAGATTTAAATATTCAGTGTGTAATATTTAGGAGGATCTATTGACAGAAATGCAATATAATATACATAACTTTGTTTTCAGTGGTGTATACAGACCTTACATAATGAACAACAACACACCGCGGGTCCTCTTACATTGACGCTGCCATGTTTCTACAGTAGCCCAAATGGACAAACGCCTCTTCAGAGCGTGTTTCGTCACTATGTTTAATACGTACGAAGAAGAAAAAGAAGAACAAGAACATGAATAAGTTACGTTAGTAGTAGTAGTAGTAGTAGCGCACAGCACAGCGAGCTTGCGCACACGCCGCAGTCAAAGTAGTTGAACTTTTGCGTTGACCCCAGCTTCCAGGCAGTGCAAATCGATTCTTTTCTGAAAATGCCGTTATGGAAGAAGTAGACCTCTCAAGACCTTCAGTCACTGAACACTTAACATTACATCCTGTTGCCTCCTCCTGTCTGTGTTGAGAAAATGTTACCAGGTGTAAAACAT